TCCCCCCCACCCCCCCTATGGACTCTGACGGGGCGACATACCTCCAGCTTGTGTCTGCCAACAACGCAGAGGCCAGCGTCTATGCTACCTTTGCCACCTTTGAAGAGGCCGTCTATGACGCCCTGCCGACCTACACCGACACATGGGAGCAGCTGGTGGTGACATCCACAAAGACCAAGACACTCGCGCTGAGCAAAGAAGATCGGAAGCGGGCAAGTGCTTCACCACCGCAACCATGGAATCGTCTACCCATTGCTCTCTCTTCTATGTCTGATCTCAAAGTCCTCATCCTCGCCCACAATGCCTTCTCATCGCTTCCTCCTGATCTTGGCCTCCTCTCGAACCTGCTCTACCTCGACATGGCGCACAACGTCATAGACTCGGTCTCGGCTTCGGTTCTTTGCTCTTGTTCCGCGCTGCAGACTCTCTCGCTTGCTGGTAACAAGCTCACCGCTTTTCCAGACCTCTCATCCGTCTCCTCCCTCACATCGCTCAATCTCTCCGGCAACGCCATCAACGCCATCTCGGCTTCCGGCCCGCTCATCCCCCACTCTCTGCGCATCCTGGACCTCGCTGCAAACGGGTTGAAGAAGATCTCTGGTACCTTTCTGGCCCACCACGGCTCGCTCACCTCGCTCTCGCTGGCGAACAACCCCAAGCTCAAGGCTCTGCCCGCCCTCTCCTTCCGCTTTGCCGTCTCGTCCCTCCGCAACCTCGACCTCTCCACCACCGCTGTCTCATGGCTCCCTGCTCCGGTCTGTGCCCGCCTCCGCAAGCTTGAGACGCTCAACCTCCTCGACACCGCAGTCGCACACCTCCCGCCACAGTTTGACTCGCTCGTCCGCCTTCACACCATCTCGGCGCTCAACTTCACCCTCTCCGCCGACTCGGGCCTCGACGTCAAGGGCTCGCTCCATCATTTTTTCCGCCTCTGTGGCCAGACCGCTCTTCCGCTCTTCCGCTCCGCTTTTGCTGACCTTCTCCTCACCCACGAGCCGAACACCTACGATGTCATCCGCGCCGGCGCCGCCCCGCGCTACCTCGATCTTCTCCGCTCTGATGTTTCGGCCCTTGTCGAGTCCGCCATCAACGTCCTCTCCAAGCTCCTCTCCTCCGAGCACAACAAAGCCGAGCTCCTCTGTGCCGGCCTCATCGAGGCCCTCGGCCCGGTCCTCGCCACCGCGCCCACTGAACTTGTCGAGCTCGCCACTTCGGGCCTCGTCAAGCTCTGCACGTTTTCCACCCCTACGTCAAGGTCCTCTTTGCCGAGCACGGCGGCACCCGCCTCCTCGCCTCGCTCTCCACCTCGGACATCCCATCAGTTGCTCGCTTTGCCGCTGACGCCCTCTCCGCTCTCGCCGTCCAGATCCCAGCCGCAGGCATGCTCCAGGTCCGCGTCCTCGAGGCCATGCAGCTCGTCGACCCGTCGACCGGCAAGTCGCCGTCGTCGGCCTACGCCGTCCTTCGCGTCGGCACCGAGAAAACGACCACAGAGGCCCGCAAGGCTCCCGACGGCGCCCCGGCCTGGTCGCGCAACGCCCAGCTCAATGTCGGCATTGCCGACGCCATGGGCCGCATCATCACCGTCAAGCTCTACAACCGCCGCACCCTTCGCAAGGACGTCTTCCTCGGCTCGGCCCGCCTCCCGGTCCTCACCTTTCTCGACGGCGCCGTCGTCGACAACTGGTTCCAGCTCCGCCCGCCCGACTCGCGCGTCTCGTCCGAAGCCGCGCTTACTGGATACGTCCACATGCAGATCCAGTTCACCTCACAGGCCTCCTCCTACTTTGAGAACATGGCCCAGAACGCCCGCGTCTGGGCCTTCCCCCCGACATCCTCAAGCGCCTCGCATCGTCGGAAGCCGCCCCGTCACCTTCGCCGCTCCCGGCCCCGGCCCTTCCGATCATCGTCGTCAACGGGACACCCGGTAGCGCGCCCTCGCCCGCCCTCGACGCGCCCGCCATACACCCGGAGCCTGCCACCTACTCCTCCATGCTCGATGCGCTCGACGGCGATGCTCGTCTCTACGAGATCCTAACCCTTGGCCTCGACGCCTCGTGCGCCGTCTACTTTGACTCGGACACAGACGCCTTTCTTCACCGCGAGGCCTTTACCAAGGTGCAGTACACCAACCGCCACTCGGAGCAAAAGTACTTTTACGCCACCCGCAGAAGACCGGAGGCCACCGCAGTTGACCTCTATGTCTCTTTCATGGGCACCTACTCGCTTGCAGACGCCGCCATCGACTTTAATGTCCTTGCCCACGATGCCCTCAACGGCCGCATCCACGCCGGCTTTGCCCAGCGCGCCTACGCCATTCCGCTCCTGCCACTCCTCGAGTTCCTCCGCCCGCCATCCACCACCGCCGCCGCCCGTCGCGGTGCCCTCGTCCTCTGCGGCCACTCGCTTGGCGGTGCTGTCGCCGTCATTGTCTTTCTTCGGCTCATTGTCGAGTGCTCCATCACGCCCGACGAGCTCCGCCGCATCCACGTCGTCACTGTCGGCCAGCCGCTTGTGGGCGACACCGCGCTCGCCGCCTACGTCCATGCCCTCGGCGTCCACACCCGCATTCACGCGATCGTCAACCACGGCGACTCGGTCGCGTGCTTCTCCTCGGCCTCGCCGCGCATCATTGCCCAGAACCTCATCCGCCACGCCAAGGACGCCACCGTTGCCAAACTCCGTCAGCTGGCGCAAGAACGTGCCGCATCGTCGCCGTCGGCCGACGAACCGCCGTCTCCCGCCGCCGCCTCAGAGTCGGACGCTCTCAACGCGCTCATGACCTCGCCGTCGTCGGTCGCCGTCGACGTCCTCACACACTACATCGCTGCCCGCTCCACAGACGTCTTCTTTGACTTTACCCCCTTTGGCATTTCGTACATGATCGAGCACCCCGCTGCCCACGAGGGCACCGCCCGCTACGACGGCGCTGACTTTACCGTCACCGTCGCCTCCGATCCAGCTGTCGTCAAGCGCTGGCTCGACATGCCACCCGAGGGCCTCTCCACCTACAACCTTGACCAGCACAAGTTGTACTACTACTTTCAGAACTGGGAGGGCCTCGGCCCGCCGCCGTCCGCAACGCCAGACCTACTCTCCTTCCCGCTCCACTCGCTCGCCTCTTACTCGGAACGCTACGGCGGCTTTGGCGACGACGGCCTCGCTCTCTCGGTCGAGACCCGCGACGAGCCGGTTTCCTACGCCGAGGTCTCCGACGTTGTCGACGTCTCCAACTCGGCCGATCTCGCTGTCGACCTGGCTTCGGAACTTGTCTCGGACCTCGGCACCCCGTCGCCGAGCCCAGGCCCGCGCCCCACCTCCGACACTGCGTCGGGTGGGGGCGCAGGTGCCGGCAGTGGGAGTGAGCCGAGCGGCAGCGCGCCGCTCATCCACCTCACCACCTCGTGGGCGCCGGTCATCTCGTCGTCGCACGCCGTCTTTGACTCGCGGACCGCCTCCATCGAGGTCATCCTCTTTGGCCGCTCGCTCCTCTTTGTCTCGCGCCTCAAGTTCCGCGGCGACGACTTTGACTACGAGCCAGTCTTTCTTACCGACACCGAGCTCCGGTTCCGGCTCCGCTGGCTTCCGGCCGTGTACGGAAAGGAGGAGACTGCCGCGACGTCGGACGGCAGTGGACTGTCGGCCAGCGAGTCAGGAGGAAGATCCGCCGAGGTGGCGGCGTCTATGGGAGACAAGGCCTCTACCCGTCCCGGCTCATCGTCGGAAGCCGCCGCCGCCGCCTCGCTCGAGGCCGCCGTCAAGCTCGGCTCGTACGAGTCGCTCACTCTGCGCGTCATCTCGCACTTTGGTGAATCGCGGGTCAAGCTCAACCTGGCCCAGCATGCCAAGTCGATGTCGCGCGTCGCGCGGGTTGCGCGCAAGTTCTGGGTCGAGGAGCAGCGCCGCGCCGCCCGCGCCTCCAAGCTCATGGCCGCGCTCCCGCCCGCCGCCCGCGCCTCGCTTCCGTCGCACTGGACCAACCCGGGCGCGGTCTTTGCCATCTCATGGCAGGGCCTCACCAACGCGCTTGCCTCGGTAGCGTCGACCATCGAGCACACTGACCTCGTCGAGTCGCTCGCCTCGGCCTACCTCACCTCGTCAGCTTTCCAGGAGTACCTGGCCGAGTCGGGCGATGTGCAGCTTCAGTTCTCGCACTTTGCCGTCCGCTCCATCTCGTTCCCGGCGCCGCGGGTCGCCATGGACGCTCTGCACAACAAGGTCGGCGTGGCGCTGGCGGGTATTGCCATCGAGCTCGAGGCCGCCTTCTCGGTTGTCCGCCTCACACAGTTCCTCTCGTACACCAACGTCGGTGTCACCGTCTCGATCTCGGACGTCGGCGGCAGTCTCGAGCTTAATGTTGTCGAGACCGCTGACGACGTTCTCTCGCGCGCCGCTGAGGCCGACGACGGCTCGGACGACGGAGAACTCCTCACCGAGGATCTGGTGGCTGTCATGGCGCCGCCGGCCTCGTTTGCGCTCCGCATTGGCAAGCTCGACGTCGACTTTGGCCTCGAGCTCACCGACGACAAGGGCGAGGTCCTCGCTTCCAAGGACAACTGGGGCTTTTCCGGCTTTGTCCTCTCGCAGTTCTCCGGCTACATCAAGTCGTCCATCTCCAAGGCGCTCGACTCGGTCCCGATCGAGGCTGCGCTCATCTCCGAGCTCACCCGGGTCTTCCTCGAGGGCAAGCCTGGAACTCACATCCCGCTCGCCGGCTCGGCCTCGGTCCTCACTGCAGACTACTCGCTTGTTCGCGCACCGCCTCTCAAGCGCGAGGCTGCGTCGTCGATGCTCTGCACCGGCCATCGCGGCCTGGTGCGGACGTACGGTCCCAACGTCCCACCCGAGCACTACGCGGACATCCCGCCGCCGCGGCCGATGGATGCCGCGCTCTCGATGTCGAATCTCCACGACGCGGTCGTCGCCCTCTCGCCGGCCATGGTCACCTCGGTTCTGCTCGCTGGCTGGCACGCCGGCTTTTTCGCGCTCGACGTCGCTGCCTCTGACCTGCCCGACTCGCTCGCCGACCCAGAGCTCTTTGCACACTACGCTTCCGACGCGCCGCCGGACACACCGTTCCACCTTGCAGTGGCAGTCACATCGCCGCCATCGGTCGTCTTTGACAGTGACCATGGCATCTGCCTCTGTCTGCACGCCGACTTTACTCTTCTCTCCGGTGATGGCGACGGCACTGCACACGAGCCGGTCCACACCGAGCCGTTTGTGATCGATGTGAGCCTGGACCCGACTGCACTTGCGCTTGGTGATGACGGCCTCGCCGGCGCGAGCATCGAGATCCGGCCGTCGGACGGTGTCGCCGAGTTTGATGCCGGTCTCGGTCCGGTAGCGGCCGTCGTCCGCCAGTTCCGGACCGAAATCCATGACTTTCTCGTCCTTGCCTACTCCTCGCGGCTGCTGAGCCTTGTCGTCGATTGGCTCCGAGCCTCGCCGCTCCTTCTCCTCGATTCGGTCAAGCGAGTGGTGGCGCAGTCACAGGCCGAGGTTGCGCTCTTCCCCGACGCGCTTGTCATCTCGTTTGTGGTTCCCGAGTACGTCCTCGACGAGCGCGAGGTTGCCGCCGTCGTCGCCACCACCCGCGACCTCCTCGGCTGGGGCACTTCGTTCCCCCTCCTCAACGCCACCGCGTCACGCAAAGGCAACGACAGTGGAGACGATGCCGCGTCGCCATCACCGCCTCGCGACGATTTTGCCATGGATTCGTTCCTCAACCGATTCGGCGCCTGGCTCGAGCGCCACGTCCTCGTCCATCGGCACGGCGACGGCGGCGGTCTTCCTCAGGGCAGCCTCTCGCAGCCGGTGTCCTGACGTCGCTCGCACAGCAGTCTATTGAAGAAGACTTTATCATCGAGCCATGCTTGTCAGACTCAGCCACTGGCACCGGCAGGTGCCTCGACCTCGCGGCCGCAGACCACGGCGTACTGCGAGGCCCACTTGCCGGCGGCGACCGAGGCCTCAAATGCGCGCCACTTGCCGGACGAGTCCGCGGCGAGGGCGAGCGGGTGGAGTGTGTGGATGGTGCGGAGAGTGGCGTTGATGAGGGCGGCAAAGGCGTCGACGTCCTTGGCGGCCTTGCTCCACGGGCGGTCCTTGAGGGTCTTGGTAAAGGCCTTGATGAGAGCATCGACCACTTCGAGGAGCGCTGCAGGGACGAGGCTGGCGAGCTCGGTGAGAATGGTGTGGCAGAGGATGGCGTTGTCGGTGAGCCGGTCGCCAAACCCGGCCATGAGCTTGGGCACCAGCTCGTGGACGTTGATCTTGTCGAGCGCGACGAGGACAAGAACGTGGAAGCACTCGAGCGCGGCCTTGCGGTTGAGCTCGGCGTCGTCGACCTTAACGGTCATGATGCCGAGCTTGAGCTCGCGGATAAGCTCCTTCTTGACCGGCAGCTCGTCGTAAAGCTGCGGGAGGAGGTCCGGGACGAGGTCGCAGACCAGCGCCGGGGCGCGGTTGATAAAGAACGTGAAGGTCTTGACCGCCAGCCGGCGGACTTCGACAGACGGGTCGGCGATGAGCGCAAAGAAGGTCGGGAGAAACGGCGCAAGCGCGGCGTCGGCGCCCGATGCTGCGAGCACCGACTTGAGGGCCGAGACCGCGCCGCCACGGACATGCGCCTGCTCCGAGGCGACAAGCTCGGCCAGCGCCGGCGCCATGTCGGCCATATTCGATGCAACCAGAAGGCCGAGGCACTCGGAGGCCACGTTACGGGTTCCAACCTCGTCCGACGCCGCCGAGGCCACGAGAACTGGCCAGAGGCTTGTCTTGACACCAGCGAGCGCGTTGCTTGAAGGGATCTTAAGCGCCGTGTCGACAAACTCCTTAAAGGCGGTGAGGACAAGGAACTGGGTCTGTCCACTCGCGCCGTCCATGACCTCAAACATGCGCGGGAGATACGCGTCCGGCGCCGAGACTGCGAGCTTCCCGAGCGCGTACGCGCCAGCAGCCTTGATCCGCTCCGACTCGGCGTCAAAGACGCTCATGGCTGCGCGTGCGAGCTCATCCTTGGCCGAAGCGGTCGAGTGGCGGACGCCAATCTGGCCGAGGACGTAGAGCGCAAGGACACGCGAGGCCTCACTCCCATTCCCGTCACCAGCAACAGTAGCAAACTGCGCGAGGTGACTCTCGATGGCGGCCGCAGCGTTGAGGACACCGGCGATGGCAGTCGCCAGCGAGGTGTATGCCTGCCGCGGGAGCGGCGAGTCACCGTCGGTCCCGCACGCGACAAGAGCATCGACAACAGCATCAACGCCTACTGCAGACTTGGCCACCGCCGCCTCTAGGAGCTGGACCAGGACCTGCAGCGAGGCACCCTGGACCACCGCGGTCGAGAGGAGCGCCATAACGGGCTGGGAGACAAGGCGATACAGCTGCGCCGCGACTTGCGCAGAAGCGCCGTCGACCAGAGCCACCAGCAGGTCGGCAGCAAGGGTGGCGAGGCCGAGATCGGCCTCGGAGACAAGCGCAGCGGCCTCGGTGCCGAGCGCGACGACCGTCGAGTCGTTAAAGGTCGCCGGCGCAAAGGCAACCATGGCCTTGGTGGTGGTGAGTGCAGCTGCCACGAGCGCACGGTCCGACTTGCGGAGGAAGCCGGTAAGCTCGTCTTGGAGGACCGAGGCCGCAGCGCTGACGTCAAAGACGCCGGCAGCCGCCGGGGCACTGAACACGGTGCCGAGAGCCGAGACGGCGGCGACGCGGACGTCAAGCAGCGCGTTCTGGACAGACGCCACAAAGAGCGGCAGCGCGTCGCCCACCCGCGAGCTGCCGAGCGTGTGCGCGGCGGCAGCGACGGTGGCGCCCAGCGCGGCAAGCCCGTGTGTCTTGACGTGACGGTCCGACTCGCCCTTGAGCGCTGCAATGGTGCCGTCGAGCACAGCCTCGAGGTTGTCGGCGGCCGGCGGGTCAGCGGCGAGGACTGCAACGAGCAGCTCGAGAACCTGCAGCCCACCCGAGATGATCTTGAAGTTCGAGTCGGAGAGGAGCGGGAGGATGGCGGCAATGAGATGGGCGCGGAACGGAACAAAGGCGGTTGGACCTGCGTTCGCGAGGAGCGAGCGGAGGACGGTGCAGACGTCGACCCGGAGCGCGTTGGCGTCGGCGTCGGCCTCATTGAGGACCTTGACGAGGCGCGGGACAAAGAGCGGGAGCGTCGACTCGAGCTCGTTGGGCAGGACGGTGGCAAGCTGGAGAACCACCGCGACAGCGGCCTCGCGGGCGCGCGGCGACTTGGTCAGCTGCGGTGCGAGCGACTTGGCCACCGCCGGGAGCGCAGCGACAAGGAGACTGAGCGAGGCCGAGTCCGATGACGAAGCGCCGCGCTGCGAGACGTTGGCGGTCGTCTTGACAAGTGTGACAAAGGCGGCAAAGACATCGGCCTTGACTGCGTCCTGCCGTTCCTTGAACCGCTTGACAAGAACTGGACAGATGACCGAGTAAAAGTGCGGGAGCATCGAAGGCCGGGTCTCAACCATGGCGGCGAGGCACTTGGCCGACGCCTTGCGGACCTTCCACGAGATGTCCTCGTCGTCGGACATGTCATCGTCGTCGTACTCGTCGTACTCGTCATAGTCAGAGTCCTCGTCCGACGGATTCTCATCGTCGTCGTCATCGTCCTGGTAGTTGGGGTCAAACGCGATGAACGCCACGCACGCCTCAATGATCGTGTCGAGGTGGATGGCGACGGCGGCCGGGCAGCGGCGGACCAGTGCAGTGTAGAGCCGGATGACCGCGTCAGTGACTTCGACGGCGAGCATGTCGTGGTCGCGACCAACCGGGTCGACGACAAGGCGCTTCGAGAGCTGGATGATGTCACCAAGTCGCTGGGCAACCCGCGGGCCGACAGTGTCAGTCACGGCCGCGAGACAGGCCACCAGCGTCTTCCGCTTGGTGCCCGAGGCGCCGTTGTCCGCGAGCGTGTCGACGAGGTAGTCGAAGAGGTGCGAGAAGAGGTCAGGCGAGAGCGAGGCAGTCAGATAGCCAATCGAGGTCACGGTATGCTTCCGCACCGTCTCCCGCGTCGCATCCGTGAGGCTCAGCAGGGCGTCGAGCAGAACTTTGTGGGCGTCGACGACGCGGGCGCAAAACTTGGCGAGGACGGCCGAGGTGACTTCCAGCGCACGGATGTTGACGTCCGAGTTGCTGGAGCGGAGGCCTTGGACCAGTGGGCCGATGGCCAGCTCACATACAAGCGTTGCATCCGGCGAGTCGATAGCCAGCTCGGTGACAATGACCGAGAGGCCCATGGCCGAGACATCACGAAGCTCTTCCTTCTCCGAGAGCATGTTGGAGGTGAGGGCGGGAATGAGCGATCGGACAGCATTGGTTCCATAGACCTTGACCAGAAGCGGGAAGACATCCACAGCAAGGGCGCGGACATCACGCGACGAGTCGCCGAGAAGACGGACAGTGCCATTGACGAGGTGACTGGCGTCGGAAGGCCTGCAGGGAAAGCCATCGCTTTCCAGCTCGCGCTTGAGGTCAGACACAGCCATGTACCGCAGGTCGTGGTCGTCGTTCTCCATACGGGTCACCATGTTGGACGAAAACGTGGACATGGTGGGCGAGGCGTTCCGCAGCGTAGAGACGTGTGGCAACGATACCCGTGGTTGGGCGACCTGTTGGCGAGGAGGGTGAAAGGAATAGTGGGTGAGGGGGATGGGGGGTGGGGGGTGGGGGGTGGGACAAAAATTGCTGGCGACAAAGACCGTGGCTGTGGCTTGGCCAAGGGAGAGGACATCAATAACTTTATGGACTTAGCTAGTGTGGTGCGAGCTACGACTCCGAGTCATTCCCCTCGTCGTCGTTCGAGGAAGCGCCTAGAGGCGCGTCAGTGCTGGCGTCGGCGGTGGCAGTGTCGTCGTCCGCGACGGCGGCGTCGAGATCGTCAAGCTCGGTGGCAGAGAGCGAGGCGGCAACGGCGCCAGAGTCGAGCGGCGAGCGCGGGACAAAGCGGGGACGTGAGGCATGCGGCGAGTGTTGACAACGACGTCGACCATGACTGGCTCAAACATGGCGATGCGCGAGACGCCGCCGTCGCGCCAGTGAAGCGTGAGCACCTTCTCGTCCTCGTCGTAGGTGGTGGCATCGGGGTGGATGGCGAGGTCAGCGATGTAGACCCGGTCGTCGTGCGAGAGGCCCGGCGCGAGGAGGGTGAACGACGACGAGCCGACGCCTGAGACCAGCGTCCGCATGTTGCGGATGGGCTGGTTGGCGAGAAAGACGCAGAGGTACGAGAGGCCCGATGCTGTCGACGCCTGCTTGGCGTTGTACTTTTTCTCGTTGGCGTGGTCGGCGATGGCCGTCACGGCCTTGGCGTCGCGGGCGGGCGCGAGGCCCGGCTGGTTCTCGCCCAGAGCCGCCGCAAGCAGCCGGTGCACCACGCAGTCCGGGTACCGGCGGATGGGCGAGGTAAAGTGGGTGTAGTGATCAAAGGCGAGCGCGTAGTGACGGAACTCGTTCTCGTCGTGGTCGGCAGTGCAAAAGTACTGCGCCGACTGCATGGGCGAGGCGAGCAGGTCCATGACCACCGCGTACACGTCACGGTCGCGCTGGGTCGTCCCCTCGCCAATCCGCTGCAGCGAGGCATGGAGCGAGCCCGACGACGACGCGTCGATGGTGTAGCCGGCGGCCGCAAGCGTGTCGATGACCTCGGTCATCTTGCGCTCCTGCGGCGGCGGGTGCAGCCTGAGCAGCGCAGTCTCGGGAAAGGCGCTGTGGATGAACTTGGCGACCTCGCGGTTGGCAAGGAGCATAAACTCCTCGATGAGCTTGTTTGACTCCCGGATCTCGTAGATGTGCCATCCGATGGGCTCGGTCATGTCCTCGTTGAGCTTGAACGCCAGCTTCGGGTTGTGGAGCGAGAGCGCGCCCGAGGCAAACCGGCGGGCGCGGAGCTTCCGCGAGAGGTCGCGGAGGACGAGGACGTCGGCGGCGACGTCGGCGGCGGAGACACCGTTGAACAGCACCGGGCCGCCGTCCTCGGGCACAGGCAGCTCGTCGCCGTCGATCAGCATTTGTGCGTGCTCGTACGCCATCTGCGCGCACGACTTGATGACCGAGCGGCCGAACCAACGGTCGACAACCGCGCCGGTCTTGAGGTTCATCTTGAAAACCGCGGAAAAGGTGAGCCGCTCAACGCCCGGCTGCAGCGAGCACAGCTGCTCGCACAGCATCCGCGGGAGCATAGGAATGACCCGCGAGACGAGGTAGACCGAGGTCGACCGCTCCGCAGCCTCGTCATCGAGCGGCGTGCCCTCGCGCACAAAGTACGTCACGTCCGCAATGTGCACACCGATCTCGACGTGCTCGTCGTCGATGACCTCAACCGAGAGCGCGTCGTCGAGATCGCGCGCAGTGAGCGGATCAATCGAGACCACCCGATGCCCGCGAAAGTCGCGTCGCTTCGCCAGCTCCTCCGCTGGGATTGGCCAGCGAGTCGAGCCTGCGCCGAGGCCGGCAGCCGGTGACGACGCGCTGGAGCCGTCGGGCGCGTCCGACGCCGCCGCAGCCTCGACCTCGGCGGCAAATGCGTCGAGCTCGCGGAGGACCCGGCCGGTAAACGGCTCGTCCTTGACCGAGTTGGCGAGAAGGATGGCCCGCTCCTCGTTGGCGACCGAGCCGAGCTTGCCGAGCTTGGCCACCACTCGCCCATAGCCGTAGCGCGAGTCTTCGGACCACGAGTCAAAGTTGACCTGGAACATGGTCCCGGTGTACTCGTCAAAGTTCTCCAGAAAGTCGTTAGGAAGCACCTTGCGCGCCTGCTTGGACGCGATGGGAACCAGCAGCCGCGGCTGCTTCTTGTCGAGCGGCTGGAAGAGGACCGCACGATCGTCAGGTGTGACGCGACCATCGCGCCGCGACGGCTTGAACATCCCGATCAGCGTCGCTGGCCGCCGGGAGTCATCCAGGATCGCCACCACCGAGCCGGTTGGTTGCGGCTCACGCCCGTCGTTACGCGAGCCCGGCTCAGCGGCGGCAAAGCTCTTCCACTGCGACTCGGGCTTGACACGCAGCGCCACCGTGTCGCCGTGGAACGCCCGGTTCCGGGGCGTCATCCCGTCGACAAACACGTCCTGATCGTAGTCCTTGGACGTGGCGTAGCCCTCGGTCGGGTTATGCGCATTGACGCGAAACTCTCCGATGGTCAGCGAGCCGTCGGCGAGGCCAGCATCGACCTCGGCCGGCGACAGATGTGTCTTGTACACCTTCTTCCTCCGCTTGCGCCCAGAGCCGTTGTTGTTTGCCCGGCGGCCCTTGTTCCGCTCAGCCTCGGCCCTAGCCTTGGCCTGGACACTCTCGGCCACTGCCGATCCCTCGCCCTTGGACTTGCCCAAGCTCGCGTCACCCTTGCCATTGCCCTTGCCCTTGCCCTTGCGGCCACGTCCAGGCTCTGTCGCCGCAAACACCGGCGCGTCGTCATCGCCACACAGCTCGGCTGCCTTCTGCCGCCAGTTCTTCTTCCCAGACGACCGACCTGCGCCACCGCCCGAGCCACCGCCACCGCCACCACTACGACCCCCACGACCACCGCGACCGCTACGACCACCACGACCACGACCGCGACCACGACCGCGACCACGACCGCGACCACGACCGCGACCGCGGTTACGTCCGCCGCCGCCGCCGCCGCTACCACCACCACCGCCGCCTCTGCGGCCCCTGCCTCTTCCCTGTTCATGACCGGACATGACGTGTCCTGGTTCTGTTCTCTTCCCTAGTCCTTGCTTGGAGAGAGCTGTGACAATGACTGGCTCCTCTGTCTGACACGCTTCGTCACCGATTTGTGCGTCTCTTTCTGTCCGTTACGGTGGCATCCAACCAGTGTACCATTATGTGTTGGTCTTTTTAATGGTTGGCCCAGGGTGCCACAGCTTCGCTCTGTCCATCGTTCGCCTTCCATTTCGAGGTATCCATTTGAGGGCAGAAGAGTCGATTGGATGCACCACACTCTCGGTTGCCGGCCGAGCGCTCGCTCCGCTGGCTCGACGGCTTGATACTTCCTAGCATTTACTGTGCTGACCATCTTTGCCAGCACATCGTGCCAATTGGCACGGTCAGCTGCGTGTACGTAAGCGCCGTTCGATGGCTCGATCTCGCGTACACACGAGATCAAGGCAAGAATCGGGCACCCAGATGGCGCCCGTCGTCGTCGTCGCGCGTCGTCATCAAAGGGGTGGGCGGGTGGGCGGGTGGGCTCCCGCTCCATCGGAGCCCACTCTGTCGACGCCATCGGAGCTCTTAGCGAAGTAGGGGGTCAGCCGCATCGCTCCGATCAGCCGGCCGCGAGTGTTAGCGACTCGTAGCAGTCGCGGCAACAGCAGGTGTCAGATGGTGCGGAAGAGTGAGTGTATGGCTTGGTCGGTGCCAACCGCAGCCATCGACATTGGTCGTTGTTGGCTTTGTCAGACTGCTCACTCGCGTGCGACAGTCTCGAATCTGTTGTTGCAGAGCACGTGCTGGCTGCCGGGCGCCAACACGCCGGCCTCGATCAGCTGGTGTGCTTCATCATCCAGATAAGCGGGAGATCCGGTGTCGAGCGGCGCAGGCCAGCAGACGGCCGCGGCAGAGCGGGTGGCGGTGGTGGTGGTGGTGGTGCAGACGGTGCAGGCGGGAGCGGCAGAGGTGGTAGTGCCTGTTGCAGCTCGCTACTTGGCTCGTGCTCGGCCTCGGCCTCGGCCTCGTGGATGGCAGCAGTCTCACCATCAGCGGCAACAACCACACTCGATCCGTGCTCGACAGAATCAAAGGTCTCCACGAACCCAATCGAGGCGTAGAACAACGCCTGGTCCTTGGTGTTGAGCCACCAAGTCGTCACTGACGGAAACATCTCCGCCACAGCCTGCTCCACGCCGGCCATCAGCGCCTTGCCGACTCCGAGCCCACGCAGCGATGGCGCAATGATGACCGACTCTACGTACACTTCGCTGCCGTCCGCAACCAACGACGCCAGCCCGGCAAGTCCCGATGCACCCGCTGGCTTGCGCGCAGCCCACCAGACCCGAGCATGGCCAACGATCATCTCACTCCTGTCATCAACAAGTACAAACGAGGTCGGCGCCAGGTCCCTGCCCGACTTGCGCAGCGATGCGAGCCTCGCCGTCAGCGACCGCCTCCAGAAGCTATTCAACAGCAGTGCCACGGCCTCCAAGACATCGTCACAAGCCAAGGAACCCTCAAGCACCTCCAGTCGGAGCCCAGCAGCTCCCAAGCCCTCGTCCATTGCTCACCAGTTCGCCACCCAGAGTTGAGTGGCCTTCGATTGCGGTGAGAGTTAGTGCACATCAGCGACTGCCGCTACAACGACAACCTTCAGAGAGGCCCACAGAGCATCAAAAGACGATGAGCCCATCCCAGTTGTACACTTTGATAGCTCCGCAGCTTCAATCACCTGAGCAGAGCAAGCCATCGGAGGCGTCGATAGCCTTGCTCGGGGTTCAGCTGATCCCACTTGCTTGCCACACACCCAACTCGAGCATGGGCCACCGACGGAGAAAGAAGCCAGCTGAGGCCGCAGGTCCTCCACCGCCGCCTCCAGAGGGTTGGGACCGGTGCTTGGAGTGGCTTCCCAAGAAGAAGCGGTACTGCAGTCAGCAGGTCCGCTCCGGCGACTCGATGTGTGCCTACCATTCTCCTTCGGCTCAGTCATCGAGGATACCTTGTCCGCTCGATCCGAAGCATACCATTCGGAAGGATCAGCTTCAAGCTCATCTGGCTGTTTGTCCGCAGGCTGCGCGCAATGCTCTCATGGAGGCCCACCCGGCTTACGTGGCCGATGTCAACTTGCCCGGACTGCCGGCGCCTGATGACGGTCTGCCCGATCTCATGGCCGCGCCGCCGGACATGATCGTCGCCTTTCTCGACGCGCTCGATTCGGTCATGGTGGCCGAGCTCGATGCCGGCCGTGCCTCTCTCATCTATGACGAGCCAGAGACTCTACCGAGTCTTGTTGACGACGACATCACTGGTGCACAGGTGAAGCACGTCCGCCAGGTGGCAGCCATTGTGGGACACGTCGCCCGAGATGGCATGCTCGACACCGACCACCTGTACGTCGAGCCCGGCGCCGGCAAGGGCTCGCTTGTCGATGGCCTCGGCCGTGCGCTTGGCGTCTTTTCCCGCAGCGTCTTCTCCAAAGTCTCTGCGGGTGGCGCCGGGCCGAGCACCACGAGCAGCGACGTGGGCGACGAGCATGCAGACCGCCCGCCACTCTTTGTCCTTCTCGAGCGCGAGAAGCGGCGATGGGTTGCTGAGCGCGGCATGCGGCGCTCGCTAGCTCTGCGAGTCCGTATCGATATCAAGGATGCCGACCTTGCCGCCCTACCCGATGTCGACCCGACCGCGCCGCGGGTCATGGTGGCCAAGCACCTCTGCGGTGGCGCCACCGACCTCGCCCTGTACATGGCCACCCGGACCGAGACTCTGCGCGACTCATTCGAGGCCGTCTACATCGCCCAGTGCTGCTACGGCAAAGTCTCTGCTGACACTTTTGTCGGTATGCCGTTCTTGGCTCAGCGTGGCCTCGCCCGCTACTTTTCCTGGATCCGCCGCTGCTCCGAGTGGGCCATCTCCATCGAGGGTGCCTCGCTCGACGCGCCCTCGCTCGCCGACTGGCTAGCCTCAAACGCCCGCACCTCCTGGCGGGCTCGCTGCTCCGTCGCTGACGACCATCTTACCGTCGACGACCTCCCCGCCAGCCTCCGCGTCGCCATCGGCTACAAGGCCCGCACTCTCATCGAACTTGCTCGCGCCTGGTACCTCGAGAGTCAAGGCTTCATCACCCGCCGCGTCGAGTACGTTCCGCTCTGTGTCACACCCCAGAACGTTCTCCTCGTTGGCCTCCGCCCGCGCCCTACCTAACAGGCAGCCACTCCCGCCGACTCCAATCGGCCCCGTCTGGCCGAGACGCGGAAAAGAAAGGGGGGGGGGGAAATCCCCGAAAAACTGCGTTGCCCAACAGCCAAGCCAAGCCAGGCCAAGCCAGTCTGGGCACTTACCCACACACGCCATCGTCACATCTGCTGGGACGAACCAGCTTACAATGAACGCCGTACCAGAAGCGCGACTTGGGAAGACCATCCCAGTCACTCGGCCAGCCAATGATCTGGCGACCATCACGACAGAACCATCGAGGTCTAGCCGTAGCTCACCAGTATTGCTGGGCAAGTCATGTCCGGACAGGCAGAGAGAACACATCACACTCACCTCCTCCCGCTTGTCCCCCGGTCGTCTTTGGCATCATGTCTGCCACACCCGCTCCGACTCGGCCGTCCCACATCGTCCGTGGAACTGTCATTGCCTACTGCACCTTCACCAATGACCCCATGCCTGTCACCTCCTTGTCAGGTACCTCTCCTCGTGTGGTGCGGCGGTTTGTGCCTCTGACGGATGAAGGCCGACTTGAGGCATATGCGCTGGATGTGCTCTTCTCCTTTGACCATCGTGCTGATGTGCTGTATACTACAACTCCTGGTATGGCTCCAACCAAGATACTGGCCATGAATAAGGACTTTGTCTCGGTTGATGTCTTTGCTCCCGGAGACACCATCTATCTTACCGGTACTCTCGCCTGGTTTGCTGACAAGGTCGTCTGCGATGAGTGCAGGACGAGGATCTCGCTGCCGGACTACCACTGCTCCCATGTCTTTGGCTGCTCTGACTATGATCGCTGCCCGGACTGCTACGATACCGCAGGCCCGCATGCTCCGGGCCACGTGCTCGTCCCCAAGGCGCATGTGCCCAAGCCGCGGACGTACCTCCGCTCGCGCTCGCTGTACGAGACCCTCGCTCTTGCGCTCGCCAACTACTCCTCAGATCCGCTCTTTGGCCAGCGACCAAGCCAGGACGCCGAGTATTCTTGGATCTCGTACGAGGCCTTTTACGACCGCGCGCACGATCTCGGCTCCGGCCTCGCTCACCTCACCCGCGAGAAGCCCGATCCGTTCCATGCCGGCATCATGGCCTCCAACTCGATCGGGTGGCTTCTCGCCGAGTTTGCTGCCACCTCACGCGCCTGGGTCACCGTCCCACTCCATGTCTCGTACACCGACGCCCAGCTCTCGCACATCATGGCCACCGTCCCGCTCGGCCTCGTTTTCTGCGAGGCCAACGAGGCTGAACGCCTCATCCGCCTCCTCAAAGCCGCCGGCGCCACTTCGGCGCTTGTTGTTGTTCTCACTCCGGCGTTCGTCTTTGCGCGGACAGCGGTCCACGACGGGACGCTGCCGGAGCTCCCGCCGACTCCGGCCAGCCTCCCCGCGTCGGGCGGCGGCTTTGCAGTCATTCCTGCTGAGCGCATCGAGGCCATGGGCCACGACAAGCCGGCCGCGCCGCGCATCTCCCACCCGTCGGTCCTCGAGACCATTGTCTTTACCTCGGGCTCGACCGGCATGCCCAAGGGCGTGACAGTGACCGAGGCCAACGCGCACGCCGAAGTCGACATGTACTGTGAGGTCTTTTCCCTCGCACGCCCCTATGTTGTCGTCGAAGTCGCGCCGTTTGCTTGGATGACTGGGCGTGACGACGCCCGCATCACCATGCTCTACGGCGGCGCCATGGCCATCTACTCTCGCCCGATGTCACGGCTCCTCGAAGATTTACAGGAGATTTCGCCGTCAAACGTCAAGTGCATGCCGGCCATCTGGGCCCGCATCTACGCGTCGTACAAGACCGTTGTCGCCTCGCTCCGCGCAAGCGGCTCTTCGACGGCCGAAGCCGAGAAGGCCGCCCGCGCTGCCTTCAACCCGGTCCTCGGCAGCCGGGTCCAGACCATTGTCACCGGCGGCGCTCACACGGCACTCGCCGTCAAGAAATTCCTCAAGGAGACCTGGCCCAACGCCATGTTTTACGACGCGTACGGCACGTCCGAGGCCGGCGGCATTGCAGTCAACGGTGTCGTCAACAGCGGTGTGGAGGTCCGGCTCGTCGACGTCCCCGAGATGGGCTACCTCACGTCCGACAACCCGCCGCGCGGTGAGATCTACGTCCGCACCCGCATCATGACTGACGGCTACTACAACGATCCCGAAAACACTGCCAAGCGCCTCAAAGACGGCGGATGGTTTGCTACCGGCGACATTGGCGTCATGGACTCGCCGTCAACTCTCGAGGTCATCGACCGCCGCTCGGCCATCTTCAAGCTTGCCACCGGTGAGTTCATTGTTCCGTCCATGATCGAGGACGTGCTCCATGGCGCGCCGCTCGTCACTCACATCTACGTCCACGGCGACATGACCCGGTCAGCACTTGTCGCGGTTGTCGTCCCCGACCTCGATGCTCTCGTTGCGCTCGTCGGCGAGGACTCGGGCATCGACTGGAACGAGCAGCGTGCCGCGGTAGCTCTCCCGCACGACGCGCCAGTCCGTCCGCTCCCGGCAACAGTCCACATGCTCGTCCTCCGCTCACTCCGTACCTTTGCCGCCTCGGCCGGCCTCTCGTCGTCGAACATCCCGCAGGCTGTCTACATCGACGTCCGCCCGTTTACGCCCAAGGCGGGTCTCCTCACTGCATCGATGAAGATCTGCCGCTCGGGTCTCTCCAGTCACTACGCTGGCGTCATTGAGGAGATGTACGCCCGGCTTAACGCCTCGGAGCAACTAGCCACACCCAAGGCTGCTGACGTTGCCGTCGCCACGCCCGGCACCGGCTCGCACTCGGGCCAAGCCTTTCCGTCGTCCGACGACGGCGAGGGCGCCAGCGGAGGTGGCTCCAAGGCCACGCTTGACGCGCTCCGCAACATCATCGGCAACTACGTCGGCTCGGCCAGTGCCGACACTGCAGGTGCCTCGCTCGTCGAGATGGGCGTTTCTTCTACCGACACCATCCGCGTCCTCGCCGCCGTCCAGAAGCAGCTCGCCGCTCAGCTCCCTGTTGACCTTGTCTACGAAGGCCTCACCATCGAGGAGATGGCCGACTACATTGACTCGGCCGGGCCGAGCGGCGCACCGGCGACGCCCACTGCAGGCGCCATCGCCAAGCGCTCGCAGTCACGCCAGCTCTACGACGACGACTTTATCCGCCTCGTCCGCCAGGGCAAGACCGCGCTCGCGCCGGTCGCCGACCTACCAGAGCTTGAGCCGCAGACCACCAGCGGTGAAACGGTCTTTGTCACCGGAGCCACTGGCTTTCTGGGCCGGTACATTGTTGAGGATCTGCTCTCTAAGCACACTGCGGCCCGAGTGGTCATTCTGGTCCGAGCGCGCTCGGCCGAACATGCCGAGGAGCGCATGCGCGAGGCCGCCATTGCCGCCAACCTCGCGCACTTGCTAGCCGCGATCGGCACCGACCGGCTTGAGCTAGTGGTCGGCGATCTGGGCATGCCGATGTTTGGGGCAAGTCCCGAACAGTACGTGCGTCTTGCGGGCGAGGTGACCCGGGTCATTCACGCTGGCGCCCGAGTCTCATGGGTCGTCCCCTACTCGCAGCTGCGACAGGCCAACGTGGTGGGCACGGTTGAGATTGCACGGTTCTGCATGACGGTCCGGCACAAGCCGCTACTGTACGTATCGACGCTGAGCGCGTCGGCGTCGCTGCGGGAGGAGCTTGCGCCGGCACAGTACTTTTCGGCTGCGAGGGGCTACGCCGCCTCCAAGCACATGGGCGAGCTGGTAACGGTTGCTGCCGGACGAGAGGGCCTTCCGGTTGCCATTGTCCGGCCAGGCATGATTGTGGCCGATCCGCGGACCGGATGGTGCCAGTCCTCCGACTTTGTGCCGCGGTTTGTGGGTGGCGTCCTTGCTGTGGGCGCGTATCCTGCGCCGCTGCCGGGCACGTTTGAGATGGTGCCTGTACCGACGGTAGCGGCGACGATAGTGCGCCTGGCGTACGAGGCGCCGCACGACGCGCGGGTGTACCACGTGTGCAACCCGGCCAAGGCATGCCTCTCGTACTCGGAAGTCGGCGAAGCGATTGCTGCCGCCGCGAGTGCTGCAGCTCCGGACAGCGATGCCAGTGTCGCGGTTGTGGCCATGGACCACCGCGCCTGGGTTGCACGTGTCCGCGAGGCCGGCCAGGCGACGCCGCTGGCACCGTTGATCGACTTTGTGGCCGACCCGCGCTTTTTGAGGCCGGCATGGACCACGCGTGCACCAACACCCGAGCGGCGCTCGCGCTCAACGGCCCATTTGCGGAAATTGACTCGGGGGTCATTGCTGCGTATGTGCGTTTCCTGCAGGCATCGGGCTAGCTGCTGCGTCAGCTCACGCCGACAGCACGTCGTCAAAGAACAGCAGGGTGTGGACCTCGCGGTCGGCAGCGGCGGCAGGCTTGTTGAGCGCGTGGGTGTTGTCCGGATAGTGGAGGAGGCGGGCGGCGACGCCGCGGGCCCGGAGAGCATAGTACAGCTCGGTGCCCTGTGGCGGCGGAACACGGCGATCGTTGAGCCCGATCATGATGATCATCGGCACCGACGAGCCGGCCGCGACATGGGCCATTGGCGAAGCTGCAAAGGCGGCGGCGAGGAGCTCGCCCGAGACCGGCTCGTCTGCCAGCGGCGCGCGGCCAATGACGTCCCAGCACCAGTCAGGAATGTCGGTGGCGCCCAGCATGGTCGCGATGTTGGTCACCGGGTTGCGGAGCGCCGCAGCCGCGTACGTCCCGCCGAACCGCAGCGCCGAGTGGCCCGAGAGGAAGCCGCCGTGCGATCCGCCGACAAGGAAGACGTTGGTGGCCGGGATGGCGGAAAGCGCCGGCGCCGCAAGCGCGTGCGCGGTCGCTGCCTGGACATCAGCCACGTCCATGTCGCCTACATGGCCCGGAAGCTTGGCCACAAACGCGTTGCCAAACCCGGTCGAGCCGCGGTAGTTGGGCTTGATGACTGCGTAGCCCGAAAGGAGATAGAAGACCGTGGTGACGTCAAACGAGTCCGGGTAGCACGAGTGCGGCCCGCCGTGCGGGTTGACAATGAGACGGGCATCTGGTCCGGCGGCAGTGAGCGCGGCTTCCGAGTACAGGAGATGCGCTTCAAAGACCTCGCCAGAGTCGTCGGTGCAGGCGACGAGCTCGGTGGTGCACGTGATGTCGGAAAGCGCGGCCGCCAGCTCTGCTGAGCACGACGGCGACGGGGACGCAAGCTCGACCCAGTCCGGTGCTGAGGCACTCGAGTCGAGCGCGGTGATGAAGACCGTGGATGGGGTGGCCGGCGACGAGGAGGCGACGAGAACATGTCCGTGGGCAACATCGAGGAGGGTGCAGGTTCCGGCGCGCGGCGGCGGAAGGACGGTTGCCGTTGCCGCAGCGAGGTCGATGACCACCACACGGTAGCTAGAGCGGACGAGGGTCGTGACAAGCAGGGTGGTGGCGTTGAGCCACGCGCGGCCCGAAGCCGGGGCCAAGGAGTCCCCGTAGATACCGGTGAAAAGCTCGCCGTCGGTAGCAAGGTCCATATCGCGAGTAGCCACGACGGTCCGCGGCGAGGATGCGGGCTCGGTGAGCGCGGCCGGCCACGGGAGGGCGCACACCGCGGCAGCGCACCGGTGGGAGCGGGCAAGAGTGCGGGCAAGGTAGACAAGCTCGTCGCCGGCCGGAGTAAAGATAGGGGCCTCGGCGCGAAAGACGCCAGTCGGCAGCGGGAGAGGCTGGAGGAGGTCAGGGAGCTGGGCCGGGACCGCGACGGCGTAGAGCTTGATGGCGCGGTTGGAGCAGTAGACCAGCCCGAGGCGGCGTGAGGCCGCCGGCACGACGCCAAAGACTAGGTGACTGCCATCGGGCGAGAAACAAGCTTGACCGAGACCCTCCAACTGCATGCCGTCGATAGCCAGATGCGACGCAGTCTCACCCGCACCGGCCGGCCCAAGCGCCGCGGCAACGTCAAGCAGGTACAGCTGCGGCCGCGCCACGCCGGTGTTCACCTCGCCCCAATCCTCGGAAAACTCGTACTTTGAGCGGATGCCAAAGGCTACTTGCTCGGTGGCGAGCTTGGCATCCGGTGCCGACTTGGGCTTGGACACCGAGTCGCTCGCGGGAGCAAAGACATCCTTCGGCTCGATAGACTTTGGTTCTGCGACCCAGACCAGCCGCGAGGCATCGGGCGACCAGACGAGGGTGGCAAAGGCCTGGTCCGAGACAATGTCACCATGGAGCTCGCCGAGAGCAGCAGCGTACGCCAGCGAGCCGTTCTTGCGGGCGATCTCGATCCTGGGCCCCTTCTCCTTTGAGTTGAAGAGCGAAGCAATGAGCGATCCATCATCTGAGGTAGCGGTGAGAGCAGGAGTGGCCGACGTTGTCCGCGTAGCAACAGGGAAGGAAGACCATGTGACCGAGTCGGAGCCGTCACAGAACCAGGAGTTGGTAGTGGACGACTTGGTCGCCGTGGGCGCATGGCAAGCCGAGAACGAGGCAGAGACAGCAGACGGAGAGTGAATGCGGCCAGAAGTAGCGAGCGGAATGGCCGAGATGGCCGTGTACCGCTGGGTGTACTCGTCCTTGCGGGTGTCATGACAGAGAGACAGAGAGACAGAGAGAGAGAGAGAGAGGTGACGATGCTGACGATGATGACGACCATGCAAACCGGTGGTGAGCAACGAGACCATGCGCAGCGACACGATACGCATTGACGCCATCACGCAGCATGTACCATTCGCGATCGTAGGTAGCAAGCAACTCACCATCACCATCTGCACATGATTGTTGATGGTTAGGTGTGTATGTGTGGCGAGAGCCGGCTTTGATGGAAGCTGCCCAATGTGATGGGTGATGGGGAGGGAGGGGGAGGGAGGGAGGGAGGGGCATGGAAGGCTGATCTGGGCGATGGGTGGCGAGTGGCGGAGGGAGAGTGCTGTGACACACTGAGTTTGGCTTGATCATGGCCAAGTCCACCATGTCCACCATGTCCATCACATCAGCCATGTTAGCCGAGTCGGACGGAGGGAAGGGAGGGGGAGGGGGAGGGGAAGGGGGAGGGGGAGGGGAAATGAGTGGGTACTTGACTCATACCTGCATACAGTGATGGAGGGTGGAGGAGGAGGAGACAACCCCAGTGGGGAGAAGGGCACTGACTATACTGTGACCTCTGGTGTGGTATGTGTGTGGTTGGGGAGGGGGAGGGGGGAGGGGGGGGGAGGGGGGAGGGAGGGGGGATGGCAACATGGGGTGTGGGAGGGGGGGAGGGGGGGGAAGGGCGGCATGGGGCCAGACATGGGCATGAGAAATATCACACTGTACTTACTGATGAGGTATAACATGGGTGAACACGGGTGTCGACCTGGGTATCGATGTGGGTGCGGGTATACGTGGCGTTGGCGACGGACGGCATGGCGTGGGTATCGTCGATCATTATGGTCACTGCGATGACTGTGGCTGGGACACGGATGAATGTCATCATCGCACTGGTGCTGCAGGCCACCACTGAGACCATGACTGCTCTGCCGACAATTGGCAAGGGCAAGAAGAAGAAGGGCAAGAAGAAGGCGACGCCGACGATGGCTGCTCTGGAGGCCATGCTGCTGTCGAGTGACAAGGCCTCGTCGCGTCGTGGAGGAAACCGCGGAAAGGGTCGTCGCGGGCGTGGTCGTGGACGCGGACGTGGACGTGGTCGTGGCCGTGGTCGCGGGCGCGGACGTGGACCGGCGCTCATCCGCGAGGATGACGTGCTCGCCGGCCCGTTCTCCAACCCAGCGTTCAACAAGCCCAAGAAGAACACGCGTCCGAGCACCGGCGGCGGCGGTGGCGGCGGTGGTGGCTCTGGTGGCTCTCGCAGCTCCAGGACGTCGTCCAAGAAGGGCCGAACCGGCGTTCGAATGGACGTCCGTATCTCGCAGGCCGCGCGCGAGGCGGTGGGCAGGGTCGCGCCCGCTCGAGCCGGGCGGTCCGGCCTCGAGGCTAACGCTGACGAGCTGGACGACGATGCCGGCGACGACATTGCCGACTACAACGTCTCGCGCCCGATGGTGCTTGGCGACAAGGGTGCGGCCGTCCTCATCGGTGCCAACCGCCACGAGGCCGAGCTTCCGGCCGACGAGCCACAGATTAGCAACGGCGGCCAGCCCGGTCCGCTCTTTGCCCGCGACGGCTACATGGTCATGCAGATGCCGCCGACACTCCCGCTAGCACCGGTCGATGCTGCCGATGCGGGCGCCTCGGGCAGCAACGCCGACGACGACGGCGATGGCGAGGCCCGCGACAAGAGCACGCTCCGCCGCCAGCGCATCCCCATGCACAACTCGGTCCTGCGCCAGGTCGAGCCCGGCAAGATCGGCAAGATTGTCGTCCGCGCTTCGGGCCGGACGCAAATGATCATCGGCGGCGTCACCTTTGAACTTCGCGGGGGAACCCAGACTCGCTTTGCCGAGCAGCTGGCTATTGTCCGCCCGCCTGCTGTTACGCCCGAAGGGCCTCCGGCCGACGGCGAGTGCGGCCACATCACGTTTGTGGGTCAGGCCGCTGCCCGCCTTGTTGCCATGCCTGCTCTCGGCGCCACCCAGCGGTAACTCGTGTCTGCCGCCGCTGTTTACTCTCATCGAAGGTCCTGGAGAACCGAGCTCTGTCGCGACAGCGGTTCGGCCCGCGACGCGCCCAGGACCGCCATCAGGTCGGCCTTTGCCGTCTCGAGCTCTGCCGCGCCTACCATGCTCATACCGAGCGTCTCGTTGAGCGCGTGTAGCATCGAGTCGTTACCAAAGCCCGATGCGTTGGGATCGGCCTCAACGTTCTCCACCTCCCAGCCCACGCTCGGCTTGGTCGCCAGTGCCGACTTGCGCAGCGCCGGCGCCACTGCGGGCCCGCTCGCTGGTGATGCCGACGCCCGCAGCACCGCAGAGGTGAGCACGAGCTCGTCGGCCAGCACGCTGTTGGACGCCTCTAGACGCGCAGCCTGTGCGCCCTCGGCATCAAGCACCGCTGTCACCTGCGCAACTCGCGCCTGGAGCTCTTCCCGAAGCGAAAGAAGTTTTGAGAGCAGCTCGTCCTTACGAGCCGCCAGCTTCGCTGTCCGCTCGCGGGCGGCGGTCACCTCGCTCGCCAGCGCCGTCATCCGCTCAGTATACTCGGCCCGGAGCTGCCGGATCTCGGCCTTCAGCACTGTCTTGGTCTCGAGCAGCTGCTCGCCCTGGCCCCGCAGCGCGTCGAGCTTGGCCCTTGCTGAGCTCTCGGCCTCGCTCATCTGCGCCTTGAGGCTGTCGCGCTGGACCTCGAGCTCACGGACCCGCGCCCGCAGCTGCGCCACCGATGCCGCCCTCTTGGTCGCCTTGGACTCGTCGGATGATGCCGCCGATGCCCGCTGGCTCCGGAGTCCCGCCAGCTGCGCCTTGAGCGCCTCGGCCGCCGACGAGAGCAACTCGATCTCGGCCTGCGCCCGGTCGCGGTCAGCCGCCGCAGCCGCAGCCTCAGCCTCGACGCTTTCGCGCTCGTTCTCGACTTGGGCCTGCAGGCTCGCAATGCTCGCCCGCAGCTCGATCGCCGCCGCCTGGGTCGCCTTGGCAGTCGCACGCGTCGCCGCCGCGCTCGCCGCCGCCGCGTCGCGGCCCGACCGTAAATCTGCAACCTCGGCCGTCAGGCTGTCGCGTTCCCGCTTGAGCGCGGCGAGCTCGTCCCGAGCCGCATCGAGCTCGCCCGTCGGCAAAGGCTGGGCGAGGCTCGCAATCTCGGCCTTGAGCTTGGCCTTGGTGGTGGTGAGCGCGTTGAGCTCGGCGCGCGCAGCACTGAGCTCGTTGGCCGCTGCCGCCGCCGCTGTCGACACTTCCGCCGCCGCCGCCTCGGCAGCAGCTCGCTTGAGCTCGAGGCTCACCGCGAGCTCGTCGCAAGTGTGCTGCAGCGCCGCAATTTCAGTCTCGACCTTGGTCAGTGCTGCCTTTGCATCACGGGCGTCGTTGTCGGCCTGCCCGGCCTGCCGCTCGATAGACGCTTCCAGGTCATCCATCTGAGCCGCCAGCGCCGCAGCGTCGGCCTCGAGCTCGGCCTTTTTCGTCCGCGCGCTCATGACCTGCTCGCGAAGCTGGGCGAGCGAGAACTCGGCGTCGGCGTTGGCCATCTCCAGCCGCGAAATCTCCGACCCGAGCTCCTCCAGCTCGGCAGCCAGCGCCTCCTGGGCCGCCACCACTTCGGCGGCTTCGGCGGCAGCCTTGCGCTTGGCCTCGATCTGCCGCCGCAGCTCGGCCGAGGCGTCAGTCGTGCCGAGCCCAGACGAGCCAAGCGTCCGCGACGGCGTCGACATCGACGTCTGCGGCTGTGGTGAGAGCAGCTGCTCCCGCTGCTGCTGTACACTCGGCGACGAGGCTGGCGCCGGCGATCCGCGCCGCAACCTCGCCAACGGATTGTCCGTGCCTCCACTGACCGCGCCTCCCACCTGTGGCGACGACAACGACGACGATGCAGACTTTGCTGAAAGAAGTGACGAGGCCCGCAGCCGAGCAAGTGGATTCGACGACGACGACGACGACGAGAGTGAGGTCGACGACCCAGACGACGACGACAAAGATAGCGACGATGTGGCACTCGCAGCCGAGCTGGCAGTCTTGGCAGATGTGTTAGGAGTGGCGGATGATGTGGGCCCTCTCAGCCGTGCGGTGAAGAGCGCAAACGAACTCGTGGCCGATGATCCTCCGGCAGTGGCGGTGGCAGTGGTGGCAGTGGTGGTGGTGGTGGCGTTGTTGGCGTTGCTGGCATGGCTGGCGGTGGTGAGCGGGGAGGACGGTTGAAGAGCGCAGCAGCTGTGGACATGCGCTCGGTGGGGGAGAACATGTGGATGCTGGTGGGGTGGTGAGGTGGTGGGAGTTGCTTGACTTGCTTGGCGGCTGGCTCTGCTCCGTCGCGGCTGGCGGTGGGTTGGCGCGTGCGCAGGGCAATGGCGCCAGCGCCGATGGCGCAAAAAATTTGAACGCAGTTTGATGGCGGCGCCTGTCGGTACATATCGGCTGGCAGGGGAGGGGGGGGGGGCGAGAGGTTTTACTTGCGGGCAGTTTCGTAGTTGGCCACAAACCAGTCAACAGACTCCTGGATGGCCTGCTCAAAGGGAGTGAACTCAAAGTCTGGGTTGAGGGCGCAGAGCTTGGCGTTGGAGGCGGTCTTCTTGAACTGGCCGTCGGCCTTGGTGGTGTCCTGGACGACGTTGCCCTCAAAGCCGATGGCGCTGAGCACGGTCTCGGCGGCCTGCTTGATGGAGACCTCGTCCTCCTCGCCGACCGAGAGGATGATGGGGTCCGACTCGTGGTATTCACGGAGGACCCAGAGGAAGAGCTTGCCGAGGTCCTTTGAGTAAATAAACTGGCGGAGCGGCGAGCCGGTGCCCCAGATGACAAAGTCCTCGCCAGACTGCTTGCAGTTGTAAGCCCGGTGGATGAGGGCCGGGAGCACATGCCCGTTCTGCAGATTGTAGTTGTCGTGCGGTCCAAAGACGTTGGTGGGGATGACCGAGGTAAAGTGACGGCCGTGCTGCTCGTTGTAGCACCGGTTCGCCGTGTCGATGAGCCGCTTAGCAAGCGCGTAGCCCTCGTTCGACCGATGCGGCGGCCCATTGTGCACCATCGTCTCATCGATCGGGTACGTCGTCTTGTCAGGGAAGATGCACGTCGAGAGGCACGAGACAACCTTGTCGATGCCGGCCTCGTGCGCCGCCTGCAGGACGCAGTCGTTGATCAGCAGGTTCTCGCGGAGAAACTCGACCTTGTAGTTCATGTTGGCAAAGAGACCGCCAACCCGCGCCGCGAGATGGATCACATGCGTCGGCTTGACCTTGGCAAACAGCGCACGCGTCTGCTCCAGGTCCCGCAGATCCGCGTCCTTGGACGTTGCAAAGTAAAACTCCTCGTCCTCGTGCGGCTCCGCCTCAGCCGCCAGCCGAATCCCGTGTCCCACAAGCCCAGACCCACCGGTCACAAGAATCATTTTCTTCTGACTGTACCCCTCCATACCCGGGTCCGACCCCGTTACCCATCCCGTCACAGCCCGCGGTGTGTGAGTCCCCCAACCCCTTCCCCGCCCCCGTTCCCCCCCCACCCCCACCCCTCCCCACCCCACCGCCCGCCGCCGTCCCTCCGCCGTCCCTCCGCCCCTCACCTCCACCAAGCCACATACGTGTCAGCCATGTTGTCTCGCCTGTCTATGTCTATGGCGTCGTCAAGTGGTGGCGACCCCCCCCCCCCCTTCCCCCTCACCCTCTGTCCCCCCCTCCTCCCCCCTCCCCCTCTCAGTTGCCCTGCCTCCGTGTCGACTACCCGTCGCCGGATCCCATTTGGTTTCGTTCGAACGATGGCTGACCGAAAATCGTCCAAGCGCCTCCAGGACAACGTCCTCCCGGCTAGCACATCAAACGCGATGCTTACAGGGCATATCGACAGGGGAGGGGGGGGGGGTCTAGTCGCATTTTTTGAGCTGACGATCGCCACCACGGTGATTTCCGCCGAGAGCATGCTCCGCAGGCCCGGGAGGTGTGCAAAGGTGTGCCGAGGTGAGCCGAGGTGACCCCAAGTGTGCAAGGACAGATCACATCCATTGTCTTCACCAATCAGTCACCATCCACAAGGCGTACAAGCCTCTCACCACTGTACAAGCCAAGATCGGAACACGTCGCCTGTGACGTGCGCGCGACGCGGCTTTTCCATCATTCTTCGCACGCGTGAAAAAAATCAAATCGTCACACGCGCCCACCCACCGCACGCCGTACCTCCCCGCATCCCCCCTCCCCCGCTTCCTCCGCACACTCCACTCAGTCCAACTTGCCATGTACACAAGTGGCAGTATGATGTGTGCAGTTGCTGTAGTGGTGGTGGGCATGGCTGTGCTCGGCATGGTCCAGGCGGAGCAGGTCGGCAAGTACGAGCTGCTGGCAAGCTACTCGCCGGTGGCAGCTTCGGCGGCGGTTGTGATCTCGGGCAAGGCGCGGTTCTCGGTTCTCACTCCGCGGGTCATCCGGTGCGAGTACGCCAGCTCGGGCAGCTTTAACGATGCGGCCACGACTGCGTTTATCAACAGGAACACCTCGGTCCCGCACTACTCCACGGCGACGTCCAACGGCGTCCTCACCATCACCACTCAGTACCTCAAGCTCGAGTATGTGGTGGGCAGTCCGTTCTCGGGCGCCACGCTCTCGATCGCCTCGGTGGCGGGCAACTCGTCGCGGGTGGCGAGGCCGGGCAAGAGCTCGTGGGCCTTTCGCGGCGCGCCCAGCGCGCCGTCGGCGGCGTTTGAGACCTGGCACTACGGCGATGCGCCTGAGGGCAACCTGCTCGGCACCATCAAGTCGCTCGACCTGCTGGGCGTTATCTCGCTCAACTGCACCGAGAACGCGCACGTTCGGATCCACGATGAGTCGCTTCACTGCCGGTGGGGCCTTGTCTCGCGGGCCGGATGGGCAGCGGTCGACGACACGCCGAACTATGTGCTCGACAAGGAGCTGGCGTGGTGGGACGGGCCGGCCAAGAACCCAGACTCTGCTGACGTGACTTTTTTGGGCACGGGCACGACTACATGGGTGCACTGGCCGACTTTGTGACGCTTGCCGGCAAGATCCCGATGGCCCCGCGGTACGCGGCCGGCATCTTCCGCACCCGGTGGTACGACTACAACTCGCACGATGTGCTCGACGTGCTCGACGACTACGAGATCCGCTCCATTCCACTTGACGTGCTCATCCTTGACATGGACTGGCACCAGAAGGCGCCACCGCCCAACGCGTGGGGCTCGTACACCTGGGACACGCGGCTGTTCCCCATCCCCGACGCGTTTGTGCACGCGGTCTCGTCCAAGGGCCTGCCGATGATGGTCAACATCCACGACGACAACGGCATTGCCAACGTCGAGGCCGAGTATGCTGCGGCGGCCAAGGCACTGGGTGTCACCGGCGGCGGCTCGATTGCCTTTGACATTGTCAATCAGTCGTATGCCTACGTGCTCGAGGACATTGTCATGGGCGCGGTGGTTGCCACCGCCGGTCCGGCGCCATACGGCATCGACACCGGCTCGCCGTCGTACTGGGGCGGGTGGTGGACCGATTTTCAGCAGGGCGGGAACCAGGGAAACACGCCCGGCGGCTACCTCTCAGCCGAGATCATCCTCAACAAGCTGCGCGGAACCGACTACATGCGCCGCGGTGTCAACCAGCGCGACTACACGCTGTCGCGGTGGGGTGGGCTCGGCAATCATCGCTACGGCCAGGGCTTCTCCGGCGACGTGCTCGTTGTCGACTGGGCCGATCTCGCGTTCCAGCCGTACTTTTCCATGACCGCTACCAACGTCGGCTTTGGCTTTTGGTCGCACGATCTGGTCGGCCCGCCCAACACCGCCGCCGCCGCCCGCGAGCTCCACACCCGCTGGCTGCAGTGGGGCGCGTTCTCGGGCGTGTTCCGGACCCACGACCGCGGCATGTCGGCCGGCTCGTGTGCCGACACAGACCCGAACACCTGCTTTGTGGTCGAGGTGTGGAACACGGACAAGGAGAACTTTAAGATCAACCGCGAGGCCATGGTCCAACGCTCCGAGCTTGTTCCCTACATCTACACCGCATACCGGGCCGCGTTCGAGACCGGGCTCTCGCTCATTCGCCCGATGTACTACTACTGGCCCGAGTTCGACGCGGCGTACGCCACGACGCCGACCGGCCGCTTTGCGCAGTACATGTTTGGCCCGGACATCCTCGTTGCACCGGTGGTGGTCCCGTCGGACATTGTTTCGGGCCTCACCCCATGGTCGGTCTTCATTCCTCCGGGAACCTGGTACGAGGTCGGGACCGGCGCCATGGTGTTCGGCACAAGCGACGGTTCGACGGTGCTGAGCAAGTCGTTCCCGCTCCACGAGATCCCGATGTTTGTCCGCGGCTCGGCCATTCTGCCCAAGGTCTCGCTCGTGCCGGGCAAGCCGCTCGGCAACGCGCTCCGCCAGTACTCGCACCTGGTGCTCGAGCTGTACCCGCCGCTGGCAGCGTCCACATCGACAGTGGTGTACGAGGACGACGGCGCGACGCTCGACTACGTGGCATCGGAGGCGTACGTGGTGACTACTGTCGGGTACACCTCGGCAGCGGCCGACGGCGTGACCACGCTCAAGCTCACGGTCTCCTCGGCGCCGGCCGCGGGCAAGCCATACCCGCTCTTCCCGAGCGCGCGCACCTACGAGGTTCGCGTCGTGTCGGGCATGCCGCTCATGAGCGGAAGCGTCAACGGCGTGGCCTTGACTGCCAACGACTGGTCGTACGACGGTGAGCGGATGATGCTGAGCGTAACGACGCCGGCTGCGGTGCCGACCTCGGCGCCGGCCTCGATCGTGCTGCTCTTCGCGAGCCCGGACGAGAGCCTGCTCATGGGCGCACGTGGAATGGTGAACCACGGCATCCACGCCAAGAAGAAGCTCGATGAGGCGCGAGTGACGCCCGGCGCGCACTCGCCGACTGGTGGAAAGCTCATGGCACTCGCGTCGGCTGGCTTTGAGCTCTCTGCTTACGCCAAGAGCTCGGCGACGCAGTTTATGACCGTGCTCAAGAGCCTTAGTGCGCGACTCGACGCCGCCTCGGCCGAGCTCGCCGCCGTCCAGCCTTCGCTGCCGGCGTACACCTTTACCCAGCTGTGGGATCCGGCGCGCCAAGACAATGCGCTCTGCTGCGCGGCGCAGTGCTACAAGGACAACTCGTACTACGCGTCGCTGAGGATCGAGGGCTACGGCGTCTCGCCGGGCACTCCGGGCTCGATTCCGCTGCTGGCGTACTACTCGGCGAGTGCGCAGGATAACGCCGACTCGACTTACGGGCTGCAGTTTGCAAGCGAGTACGCGCCGGCGCAGTTCTCGGCCAACGGCTATGTGCTCGCGTTGGAAGCGCCGGGTACCGTCCCGCTGCAGCTGTTTTACTCTGCATCGCGGCACGACTACCTCACGGTGGCGTCGGCCGAAGGCATCGCCTACGCGAACAGCAACGGGTACACGCGCATCGACAGCGCACTCGGGTGGGTCTACACCTCGCCGCCGTTGTCGGGATCGTCATCGATCGACGCCGCGCGGTGGACGTACGCGGCGACACTCCTGGCCAACGCAGCAAACTAAGGCTAGTCGGTAAAAGTACAACAGCACACCCCATGTCATGGCCGAGTGAACGGGCTCACAGCGGAAGCTGCGCAGCCAACCGGCGCTCAACTAGCTCGGACATGACGTTGATGAGCTCGTATTGCAGCTGCTGAAGGCGGTAGACGGTGTTCTCGTGGTACGACATGGTGGCAAGGTAGGTGTTGAGCCAAGTGAGATTGCAGGTGAGGTTGGTCATGGGCACGAGATCGTCGTGGCGGAGCGAGCCGGCCATGAGCTCGAGCATGTCTTGGACGTTCTGCTCGGGTGAGAGCGTCTTTGTGCGTTCGATGAGCACCTCGTAGTCGCGCTGCTGGCGCTCGAGAATGAGAGCCTTCTTCTTGCGGTACTGCTCAAGCTTGATCCGCTTCATGGCGGCCTTGTCCTCGGCGGCAGAGCGGTCGAGGCGCTCGACAAAGATACCGATGAAGAGGTTGGCAAAGATAAAGTGGCCAACTAGGATGAACGAGACAGTGTATAGCCGCGAGGCCTTGGAGATCTCGTCAAGCTTAGCCTGGAGCGCAGTCCACCCGTCGACAGTGACAAAGGTGAAGAGCGAGATGATGCCGTCGCCGAGGGTTCCCCACCGCTCGCGGTCGTGATACTCCTCGTAGCCAAACAGGTAGTAGCCAATGATGGCGTAGACAAAGATGACGAGGAAGAGCAAGCCAAGGAGATAGACAATGTCGCCCAGAGTCTTGTAAAAGGCCTGGACAAGGATTTGCAGCGAGCGCACAAACGAGATCGAGCGAAGGGCACGGAGCGAGCGGAGGGCGCGGATGACACGGAGAAAGGTGAACTCGCCGAGGACCGAGGCCGAGGCAAAGAGCAGTTGGACGTATGAAATGAGGAGGATGAAAAAGTCGAACCGGTTGTAGCCCGACTCCCAGTAGCCGAGCGGACGGGCGATGAGCTTAAAGACAAACTCGAGCGAGTAGAGGGTGATGGTGGCCCAGTCGATGGCGGCAAAGAACTTGGCGTTGTTCTCACGCACGGTCCGGTCTGTCTCGATGGCAATGACCACGGCGTTGAAGATGATCACCAGCATGATACCGACCGAAAACACGTTCGACGTCGTCACCCACTCCATAAACGCCTGCAACTGCGCCAAGGCTGCCGGGTCCGCCGGCCGCTCAACAACTTCCTCCTCCTCGGGCCGATTCGCCGTCTCGTTCTCCGCCGTCAGCAGCCTCCTTCCGGACATTGCCGGCGGCGCCATCGAGTTGAGCGACGAGAACGACCGCCACATCCCTGCTCCTCCTGTCCCTGCCCGATCCAGATGCGACCGCCCTCCCGGCGACCGTTCTGCCGGTGATCGGCCTGCCGGTGATCGGCCTGCCGGTGATCGGCCTGCCGGTGATCGGCCTGCCGGTGATCGGCCTGCAGGCGACCGACGGGTGGGCGAGAGCGTTGAACGAGATCGCGAGTCTGATGCAAAGCCGCGCGATGAACGCGAGGCCGAGGGAGATACCGTCGGCGATGGTTGTCTCCGGAGCGGTGACGGGCTCCTGCCGCCTGCTCCGCTCCCCCCGCTCGCGCTGCTGAGGGTGCGTGTGTGGGCCGAGAGTGGCGGTGGGCGGTGGGAATGGGGTAAGGAGAGGTTGGAGGCTGAAGCTGATGGGGTGGTCATGGCCATGGTAGGGTGGGGTGGGGAGGGGTGGGGTGGGGTCGGGTGGCCGTGGCTGTGGGTGGGGTGGGGTGGGGTGAGGTGGCCGTGGCCGTGGCCGTGGGTGGGAAGGCGGTGCGGGTGGTGGGTGGCGGGTGGCGGGTGGTGGGTGGTGGGTGGTGGGCAGCAGAGGGATCGGAAGCCATCATCATCAACATGCCGATGGCTGGTGTAGGGATTAAGCTCGGCAAGAGGGAAGGAGGAAGGGAGGGACACACGCGACTCTCTCCTGCTCTCCATGGACGGCATCCGCCTGGCGGGCGATGCAGTGCTGACGGCAGTGGCCGAGGCGGTGGTCGACGTGGCCGACGCAGAGCTGGTCGCCGAGGTTGCTCGCCTGCACGCGGCGCTGGCGGCGTTCCGGGCGGCCAAGGGCTTCGGACGGGCCATCGCTGCACCGCAGATCGGCGTCAGCAAGCGGTTTGTGGCGCTGGATCTGGGAAGTTCCGCAGAGGGGACCGACCTGGCCGACCTGGCTGCCGCCGGCCCGTTCACCATCTTCAATCCCGCCATCGTGTGGCGCTCCGATGAGACCATGACACTGTGGGACAACTGCCTCTCCTTCCCGTGGCTCATGGTCCGGACCCAGCGGGCGGTCTCCATCTCGGTCACTTTCCAAGATGCTGATGGCGTGACGCACACGGCCCAGGCGCTGCCGCCCGCACTCTCCGAGCTGCTGCAGCACGAGCTCGATCATCTCGACGGCGTCCTCGCGCTCGACAAGGCTATCCGGGACGACGGCGTCATCTCGTTTGTTGCCCGCAACCTGTATGACGCCGATCCGGCACGATACAACACGCTGGTTGATTATGCTATCGAGCCGACGGTGTGAGCCACGCTACGCTTTCCATCCCTTTCCCCAGCGGTGCCTCGAGACCGCGCGTGCCTTGCGCGACCGCCGCGGCGCCGTCTGTGGTGCCCGCCGCCGCGGCCGCCGCCGGTCCGAGTCAAAACCGTAGCCAGCACCGTAGACGTCATAGGCATCGTAGCCGTAGCCTACGCCGCCGACAAACGAGCTTTCTTCCGAGAACGAGCCATAGCCGTAGTCGCGGCCATGGTGCCGCCCGGCAGGGATAATGGTGTCGGCCGAGTTATAACTCTCCGACGACTCGGAGAGCTCGTCGAGGAACTGCTGCTCGAGCTCGGCCAGCTCCTCTTCGAGGCCGTCGTACTCTGCCGTGTAGCCGCGATCGACCTCGATGAGCGTCTGCTCGAGCTCTGCGATGCGCTCCCGCAACGCCCTCGCCTCGGCCCGGCTCCGCTTACTCTTCACCTTGCGCTTCTTTCGTCGACCGCCGGCCTTCTTTGACCGCTTGCTCTTGGACGAGGCCAGCCGCTTCTTGTTGCTCGTCCTACTCTTCTTGCTCTTCTTGCCCTTTCCATTTCTGTCCCGATCCTTTGCGCTGCTCTTCTTCCGTCTCTTCCGCTTTCCCATGCCCGATTCAGCAGCCGACGCATGCTTGGTACCCTTTGCCGACTTGATCCTGCGCTTAGACCGCACCTTGTCAGCACTGTCCTCGTTTGTGGACTTTCTCTTCCGCCGCTTTGCCGATGATTTTGCCGACGACTTGGAGTTGCCGGCCTTGCTCGACCGCCTCCTCCGGCGTGGCTGATGGAGCTCTGGCGCCTTGCGCTTGCTCACCTTTGTCGCCTTCTTCTTTGAGCCTTTCTTCACCTTCTTCTTCTTCTTCCGAACCGAGTGCACGACACGAATGGTGATCATGGCCTCATCATCGCCCTTGCCCTCGGCCACAACAGACTCGGACTTGTCCCGCTTGCCCGTCTTGCCCTTGCCGCTCTTTCCGCTCGTCGTCCGCCTCCGTCTCTTCCGCATAGCAGGGGCAGCCATGACTCAGCCACTTTGACCCCAGGGCAGATGGAATGTGGTGAGGTGGTGGTGAGGTGGTGAGGTGGTGAGGTGGTGAGGTGGTGAGGTGGTGAGGTGGTGAGGTGGTGTCGGGGCTGGCAGGTGCCATTGGTGCGACAAGGGAACAAGGGGGGC